GTTGATTCTCAACTGTTGTCTCTCGTATTTCGGCCGTCTCGCCTTCCTTGCATGCACCTTTGCCTCTTTCCTTTTCTGTCTTTTTTCTTCGCGTGCAATTGGTGCGTACTTCTTGTAGCGGGTGGTGGCTGTGGTTTGTTCGCACCTTCCTTGCTTTGCTCGTCTTTCTTCTGCTGCTCCACTCGCCCAATCAACAGCCCCAGCATTCCTTTTTCTCGGCTCCTTTCAATCCCCCATATCCACCACCTCCGCACTTGTGACCTGCTAGCCCTCCCTTTTCTCAGCTCCCCTAGCTCTTTCCCAAGACAAACTCTGAGAGACGTTCATTTCTCGCTGTTGGTTCTGGACCTTCCCCAACAGAAACGAACACAACCTTTTCACCGCACCATTGTGACTGTTGCATCCATCTCCTCTCATCTCTTTGCCATCTTCCCAAGCTCGCTACTACACGCGTTGGAGTTTTTCTGTCGACTTTAGCCAGCCTACCGCGCCGATTGGCGAATCCTCTCGGATAGACCCGAGAAAAGAAACCCGACAAAAGAAACCCGACAAGGGACGAGTCACGAGAAACAGCTATCCGGGAATAGAGCTGCAGGCACTCAACGATCGCGAGACACCGTCCACGAAACGAGATGGATCTCGCGTACTCCCAGCAGCAGCAAGCACGCCGCAAGAACCGGTCGGCCGCGAACCTGCAACACCTCTCGCTCGCACCGCTCACGTCGCGTCTTCCACTGCGTGACGACTACGACGGCACCGACATCATCGACAGCCATTCCTACTTCTCACATGCCCACACCAGCAGCAACAGCGCTGCCCTTGCGCGGATACCTTCTTACATCCAGGGTCGCTCGGCCCCGGCTACGCCGCGGCTGCTCTCCAAGTCGCCGACCGCGTCTCGCTCTCACTCCCACGAGGGCCGCCGTCGCGCTCACGTGGCGGGCGGTGGCTCCCGCACCCCGGGCGGCACGGGACACAGCAGCAAGGCCCATACCGGTGCGCTAGCAAAGAGCCTGTCGACAACGCAGCTGCACATTGACGGGAATCACCAGCATCTCCGCTCGAATGGCACCGGTGGCGCACGGCAGCACCGCCGCCGCAAGACGGACCACGGCCACCACGAGGGCGGCGGCGACGACTGGCTGTTCCGCGCCGCCGTTCTCGTCGCGAGCGAGGCCCGCGAGTCTAAGGGCCAGAGCTGGCTGACAGCACGTGCTAGCTCCACGAGCCTGTCGGGCTTGCGCAGCGCCGAAGAGGCCGAAGACGTTGCCGCGTTTGAGCGCGAGCTGGCGCGCGAGCGCGAGTATCTCGACCGCATTGCGGGCAGTAGCCGCCGTGGAAGCCGTCGCGGCAGCCTTGACCACGACGTCACGTCCCCGATTGCCTCGGCTCATGGTCACGGTCCCGCGAGCCGGTCGGGCAGCCGGTTCGGAAGCCGTGCGGGTAGCCACCTGGGCAGTCGCCCGACGAGCCGCACGCACAGCCGCGCTGGGAGCCGCGTGCAGCTGCTCACGCCCTTGGACACCCGGCGTCATTCGCCAGACTACAACGGCATGCCGGCCACGGGCGAGGCCGGGTACTTTGACTATGCAGAGGTTGCCGAAGACGACGGCGTGCATCACAATCATCTAGCGACGCCCGCAGGGCCGGACTTTGTCAACCTCGACGACGCGCTGGAAGCCATTGAGCTCCACCAGCGGGACATGAGTCTCGAGGACGAGGACCACATCCGGCGACTCGTCAAGCGCGAGAAGGCTGGCGGCGTCATGGGCTCGTGGCTGGGCAACGTGTTTGGCTGGTCGCTTTTCTCTGTCCAAGAGATAGAGGGCGAGGTGGACGATGACGACGACTACGACGACGACGAAGATGAGGAGGATGGAGACGAGGACGAAGTGGAGGAGGATGACGATACGGAGGCTGATGTCACCGAGAGACGCAGCGACGACATATTTGAGGAAGGCTCTGTCGGGCAGGATGGCAAAGCAGCAGCTAACGGCCGGCGGCGGCGGTCTCGGAAGCGTCGTGGCTGGAACCGGCAGGGACCGACCGTAGCTGCCAACCGACGCCGGTTCGAGGGCGATGAAAGCCACGCCACCGAGGATCCTGTGCCGCCACCGCCCGGTTCCAACGAAGGCACATGGCAGGACGCTGCCTGGCTGCTCAGTGTGGCATCCAAGGTAATTCTGTAGACGGGGGAGGAGCATGGAGCAGGAGCAAGAACTACACCGTAGAAACACGACCGGCCCTTAGATAATGCCTGCGTTCATTTTTGTTAGACGACTTAATAATACTACCTCATCTTACGGCAACCCTTTCCCTCCTGTGACATGTCATATTGATGCCTCGTCATTCGTTTCTCTTAAAAACTATCACGCTGCCAAACATTCACTGTGAGACATCTCCTCCGTAGTGTTGCTCCTCGATCCGAAGACGTCTACGAAACTACATCATACTTTGCATTATCGTTGACGCCCAAAATTGCTTGATATGTTTTGAGCAGTGACATCGAGTGCACGAATCGAGGACCGGGAGAGAGGGCCGGATGCGATTGGCTCGCTATGTTGCACCTCCTTTCGTTCAAAATCTCCCCAGCAAGCCGTTGCCTTGTCCCTTGACAAGCGAACGTTCAGGGCTAAGTATGATGCCAAGAGGACCCCCAACCTTCAGGTCCACCACATTGTTCTATTTTTTTATTTTATTTTTCCAAATCCCTTCTGTTTCTCACCCTTCCTTTGGCGGCCGCGAGACGACCCCGAAGGGTCTGGCCAGGCCTATGGGTCTTGGAGAGACCAAATGTGAGAGGGCAAGATGGTTCCAGTCCGACGTGGATGCACGACCATATGTACGAAAAACAGGTTTTTGGGGCAAGGTTTCCCTACCTTACCCTGCTTACCCTACCAGGAAGATAAGGTGACAGAAAGAGGGTGTTCTTACATAGTCCAGCAGAGTCTAACGCCATGCGGTCGTGTGCTTTCGTATTGAACCACAAAACCTTGAAGACGAAGAAGGAGGAGGAGAAGAAGTAAAAATGCCGATGGCGACTAACAAGCACGTCCCTCGACAATATGTGCTTGTCTCCTGGCTCATCCTTATGCGGAAATAAACTAAACATAGCAGGTGAGGCTGGAGGCTGAGGTGCCGCTGTGGAGGTTCTCTCCTCGTCAATATGCTCCGGTTTATATACACATATGTGTTCCGGAGTACTCGTCAGATCTGGCAAAAAAGCTGTTTCCGCTGTCTACATTTGGCGAGGACAGAGCAGCAAATAAAGTGCGCGTCCTACCACATGACGTGAAAAATACACACTTCCAGGATCAGAAGCGTGATGATATGATGGTTCTGTGTCTCTGATAGCCGTATATCTGATGACAAACCGCAGTGAGATGAATTCAAATGTGCGTGCTCCATAAATTTTCAGATTTTGGGAAAGGAATCCAGCTACCACAACTCTTTTCGTCAGCGACGTTTACATATCGAACGGCAATAATGGTTAACAAACAATGGTTAACAGATGAGGAATGGGCATAAGTAGCCATGCAGCCATGCAAAACTCAGAAAATATTTCGTCTGTATTTACTAGGCTCTGTGGATGCAGCGCTCCATTTTTTTGAGGAGCTCCAACTTATTCAGTAAACGGCACAAGGGTCCGGCTCCGCTTCGGCAGGCCCTTCATAATTATGTACGAAGTACAAACATAAAGACCACAATGCATACTTTGACCAAACCTCACGATCTTGTCAAAAGTCTCACAGGCTCAAGGCCCTCCAAAAACTTGTTTGGTTCCGTTCCGTTATTATCTGGAAGATATCTCCTCTTAGACAGGGACACCCAGATGAATGACCTTTCGACACACCGTGGAAGAAAAGCTCCAAGAGGCAAATATGTAGGGTCTTGGCGAAGCTGTTCTGGGAAGCCAGCGGTGCCGATTTCCGAGACCAATGTGCGACTAGCACTGTATTGGAAGTACGAAGTAATGATTTTGCACGCCTTTCTCCAACTCCGAAAAAAGGAATCCAGATAAACTTTGGGTGTCGTGGAACAATTGGAAATTCAACGGTCAGTAGACCTCGTAGAGGGGACAAGACTCACATTCCGGGTATTAAAGTAAAACCCTAAACTAGGCTCACAAGACGAAAAAAAAAAGTCGGATGGGAACTTACATGTGGAAAATTCAGCTCATTGACCTTAACAGTCGTATTCCCAATTGCGACAAGGCGCCGTTATTTAGCGTCGTAGTCTATGGAGGACATCGACTACTTTGAAGCCCCTTTTCGCGTTGGATCAGTGTCGTTGGGGCTTTAAATCATCTGGGCACTGGGCGCCTTTCTTCTTTCGGGGGAAAAGAAAATCTCTTTTATTTTCCCCCGGAGCAGCCAGTCGCTCCGGCCTAGTCTATGTCTTTGGCTTCATATGGAGAAGAGAACGGACAACAGGCCGCCGTACCATACCCAAACCAACTCGGTGTGGTAATTGTGCCTCGTGAGATGGCTGGAAATGGCACTGAGGGACAAAACCAAATCCGCAATGGCGTTGGAAGAAAAGTGACAGATCCCGACTGTCTCTAATTGGCGTAGCAGCAGGTGTGGTGGGGAAGTGATCCCCTGACCCTGCACCTGTAGTGGAACGGCTGGTCACGCTTGGGCGGCCGAGCACTAGGCTATTATGACGTCGGTCGGATGCTCTGTGCGTAAAGAGGGGCGCCCTTTTACGTCGTAGTTCCTCCTGCAGCTCACGACGTAATTAATATGGGGCGAAAACAAGGAAGACAACAACCATCACAAGAGTATTTTATTGCGGGCTGTGCCGCTAAAATGGTAGACTTTTTTTCTTTTTTTCTTTTCCACTGCGTCGGCAGCTGATAGCTTGTATCGCACAAGCAAAAAAACACTATAAAACAATAATGTCGGTTCGTGAATGTGTTTAGACAAAGGGCACGAAGGAGGAATCCCCGAGGACACGACAAGGCACCGTCGAAAAGAAAGGATAAGAGGAAAGGGACTATGAAAACGCAAAACAGACGAGCCGGAACGACAGGCAGCGCTGAAGCCATAAAAGCGGGCGTTGCTCCTCTAACCCGTCCTCGGCCCAGGAAGAGAGTATGTGGAGAGAAGAGCCCGCCGAGCCACAAGGAGTCGGTTGGTCTTTCTGCTTCACCCGAAGATATTGTTAGGTGGGAGCACGTCCACAATGATCTCAAGGGGAGCGTCGGCCGTAAGTCACGAGATGGCCCCATTTGTCCCCGATTGTTCGAGGATTGCGCTACCGATGGCATCCGAGCTGGACCCTGCATCTCGAATCTCTCAAATCCGGCTGAGTGCTTCCTCGACAGTTGCCTTGCCAGGCCAAGAGGGTAGGAAAAGGACCGCATCGCCCCCACCCTGGAGACAGGAAGCTCGGTGCTATTATTTATCTCTTGTCAGAATTGATAAAGAAGGTGAACTGGGGAGTACTCACCGCTCTTCATCGTCGCACACAAGCCTATCTGACTCTCCCCTAGTGAGGGGCAAAGGCGTTTTCATGGCCATCTTGTCTGCATTGACGTAGAGATGGAGCAGTGCTGAGTAGAGGAGTCGAAGAAAGGACGTTCGCCGACAATGGTGAACATCCACAGAACCAAATGTGTCCAAGAAGGAGACCGGTTTATACCGGCGGTTGAGAACGAAACGAGAATAATCTCGGGCTAAATAACGAGAGAGAACGGCACAACGTGCAAACAGCATGTACCAAACTGCCAAAGACACGGGGAAGGGATTTAACGTACAGGCGAGGGGTCCGGTGGGCAAGTCCAGACCCAGCCGATGAAATGGGTACGGGGAGTATGACAAAATATGGACAGCGCTTGTTCTGTGGGGTGTGGCGCAAAGGAAGATGGGCGAGGGGATTGAAAAACGTTGTTCTCAAACTCATAAAATATGAGCTTCTCTCCTTTTCTAAAGTTTGTTGGAAGCCCCCTACTCGGTGCGTATCGCTCCTTCTTCGACAGACTGCCTGCCATGCGATGATAAGAAGGCGCATTGCTAAAAGTGCAACGAGTCTACATGGGCTAGCCGTGTTAGAAAGGGCAGGAGGGGTTCAAATTTTGAGCGCTGCTCGTCCCACCGAAAGGGAAGGCGCCAATGGCGTAGCATTGGTAGTATTATTACAACCCCACTGTAGGAACTTCCTTCTGCGTGGCATTGAAGTTGTGGAACACCATTGCGTCATAGTCCTTTTAGGCTTGGGGGGCTTAATCGACTTGACCTCTCCTGTTCCGTCCAAGTCATTTTTTTTGGGCACCGACATTCACATCAGACGGAAGGAAGTAGACAAAAAACAATAAAAAATCAGGCAGGAGCAATGGACTTTCAACACCACTATGGAAATAGGAAGGCAAAAGAACCGGAAGGGAGGGGGAGAGAGAGAGAAAATAAAAACTAAGATATAAAATCGCTTGAAATCAGCCGTGAGCGGCCGTCATGTAACTTGGGCTGTGACCGGTGGTAGCTCGGCATGCAGAGTCAGAGAGGACCATAATAACACCAGCAGAGGAGGCTCTGACGAATGCTTAGCAGCGAACTGGTTTGCATATGAAGCAATTACAGGCCGCCACTATTGCGGTGCTAGTCTTGGCCCCTGCCTGCCGCTCGTTTGTCGCCCCATTCTGGGAAATGATCGTTGCTGCAGCAGGTGCGAACGACAGTAGGCTGGGCGTAAAACGGCCAGATGGCCAACGAGGGAAGGAAGCACCACTGAGGGTCGAAGCTCTCATTTACAAGATAAAAGACATTCATCTCGAGACGCCGGCCTACGTAGCAGGGTATCCGTCACCAGTGACACACTGTGGCTTTCAGCCCTGCTGGCTCTCGTCAACGTGCGCATCCCTACTCTGTAGGAGTCCAGTTGATAAAAACGAAAGAAACGAGAGGGTGGTTGTAGTGGCACGCATGCGGCTTTACAGAAGAGAGCATCACTCCTTCCTAGTTCAGCGACTTAATCCCAGACAGAAACCAGTGCGTGAGGCTCCCAGCTGGCACCTGCCGTTCCAAGACGAAAGAACCCCGAAGAAGCAAGGACAACCAGCCTGCCCTAGTCTTTACCCAATACGTTTGCAGAACTACTTGGAAACAACGACCGGTAACACAAACTCATAGACAGCCATATGAAAGTACTACAAAGCCTTAAAAGAGCGGCCGATGGTTAACATGTTGCTCGCCAAGAAGAAAACAAAAGAGAAAAGGAAAAGACAAATAGAAAAGAAAAAGACCCAATATATCTCACTTTCGATAAGAATTGTCGTCACACTGTGTGGTAAATTGTGGTCAACAGTGCATTGGCGCTGGTGGAGCGGTCCCCTTTTTTATGGCCGACCGTGCCTTCCTCATACCATTTTAGCCCGTAGTGCCCTCACTAGCAGTAGTTTTGACGTTGGCCCAAAGGAAGCGCGCATTTCATGCGGGTGGGGGGAAAAAGGGGAGCCTTCCTCAAAAGTATGCACACCACCCCAATCCAAAGAAGTGTCCAATTACACCAAAACATCCTTCCATCAAAGAAACGTTGCTCTCTTCGCCTGTCCTCGTCAACAACCACAAGACCACAAAATCATACCAGCAGTTGTCCGTGAGAACAACGAGACGCTCGCTCGCCGTCCGCTTGTCGACGACATCCACACATCACCGCGCGGCCAAACCCTATTCGGCCTTAACCGCCAGGAGCGTCTATGGTTGTGTGCACCCCAAAGTCTTCAGTCTTAATTCCAGTTACCGTTTCCTTTCCCCATTAGCTGCCCGCGTGCCGTTCCACTCTTTCTCGTTTCTTCCTCGTTTCTTCCTCGTCCTATTCTCCTATTCTTCCTTTCTTTCCATTCTTCTACCTTCTTCAGCTTCCAAACCAAATACCCTACAAGTCTGCCACCGGCCATCCCTCCGCCTGGCCGCGTCTCGTCTCCTCCTCCATTCTCGCCATCCTCCTCCTCCCTTGCAGCTTCAAGCGTCCGGCCAGGTGCTATTGTGTCACAAAGACTAGGCCCCGGCTCGTTTACCTGACCTGTACAGAGGCGCCAGCCCGGTGGCCACACCGAAGTTCCCAGGAACAGTTACTCACCACTCGTGCCGAAGAAACCGCGCTTATACATCAAGGCACGACCATCACACGACTTGGATACGACGGCAGGCAATCATATCTCTCAGCGTCCCCATCTTTGTACGCACAACAGGCGCTTCTTGCATCATATCCCCATCAACAATCCCGGAATCGTTCTCAGACGGGGATTGTAACTCTGTCTCTTCGTCAACCACATCGAGGACGGCTTCCCTCCACGGCGACAACAAACAGCTTGCTTTGACCAATGTGAGTATTATGACGCCAGCTGGGCACGTGTTCGGCACACCTTCTTGCGGTTGCTTTCCGGCACAAAACTTGCGCCCCTCGATTGCAAACTGAACCCAACGTCAGTTCGGGTCGGTGGTATTTTTGTGCTGTTTATACCCATCCCACCGCCTCGATTCCTGCCAAGTGGCTTCCACTGATTACCGATTCGGGCATCCAACTGCTTATAGTTGCTGTAGCTCACTTTTTATCTGGGATTCATTCCCCCCCCCCTTCCTTCTCTCTCTCTCTCGCTTTTCCAAAGGGAAAGGAAAGGAGCCTTGGTATGCACAGTACGCACGAGGTGCAGGCACAGAAACAGCCCTCGCCATCTGTCATCCTGCGTGCCTTGGCCTGTGCTTTTCGTCCTATGATACGCACCGGACCACGCCCCCATCTTACTGGGGACCTTTGGCTGTTTTCTTGCCGCAATATCTGCGTCCAGTGGCCTAAATAACGCGGGGTTTTTTGGCCTTCTTACCCTTTCCCTTCCACCCCTCTCTTCCGTCCGTCTGTCTACCCCTACCCTCCCACCCGTCTGGCATGGGTCCACTAGCCAGGGTTGATGGCAAGCGCATACGTATATGTTCGGACTCTCCCGGCGGGCCCAGGGCTTTCCTCTTCACAGCCTGCCGTTGTTTATATTGTTTCTCCGTATTTCTTTTTTTTTTCCCTCAACATTACCTTTTACCTTCTCATTGTTCTTCGCTACCACGCTGCGTTTCCAACAAACTAGCTTTTTCGTGCATCGCTTCAAACATCACGGGGCAGACAGCGTCTTTGATACCTTTCCACCTACCACACACCGCCACGCACGTTACTCCTTCACCTTGTTACTTCTCCTTCCGCCTGAATTTGGAAAGTTTGTGCCCGTTGTGCTGCCACTGCCACTGCCACGATATGCTGTGCCATATTCTGTTTGCGATCTGCACCTGAAGCGCGTTTCACTAACAGGTTTAGATTGAGCGAGGCGCCGTACGTTGAGCAGCACATCACACCCGATCAACACCGTTTCGTTTCGTCAACAGACCAGAGACAGTGCCCAACATGTCTTTTAACTTTGGTGACAGTGTTAGCGAGGCGGCGTTCGAGCAAATTCTTGAGATGGACGACAGCCCGTCAAATCGCGATTTTAGCAAAACGCTTGTTTACGACTACTTCGACCAAGCCAAGGAGACGTTCCAAGGGATGGACGCAGCCGTGTAAGTCAGCGTTGCAGCTTGATACAACGTACTTGGCGTTCCGTACGGTGCTCATACTAAGACTCACAAGGGCCAGCGAAGACCTCGCAAAACTGTCGGATTTGGGCCACTTCCTGAAGGGCTCATCAGCAGCACTCGGTTTCGACAAGGTGAAGGACCACTGCCAGGTCATCCAGCAGTACGGAAAGAAGATGACGCTTGACGGCACCCCCGAGCCGGACAAGAGCGTATGCCTGGCCCGGATAACAGAGGCGATTACGGCAGCAAAGGCCAACATGACGATTGTCGAAGACAAGATGAACGAATTCTTCGGCGTGGTGTGATTGGCGTTTGTTTGCAAAGAGCGACTTTTTAGACCGCTGCCAAGCTGCGGCGTCCGTTTTCTTACTTATTCGTTTCCGGCATTCATCATGTCGTATCATTCCACTTTCAACCACTCCTCCTCGTCTCTGAGCATGGCGTCAACTAGTACCGTTTGGTAGAGCATTAGAAACGACGGCTTTACTTTCCTCGACAACCTGTGTGACGAACACGCATATTCAGGCGCGACAAACGAAACTCCCAATCTTTTCGCTCCAAGAGATTTGGGTGTTTTTCTTGTCATTTGCTACTTAACCTAGCTTTTGGTTTCTTTTTTTCTTTTCTCATGACTCCTTTTTTCTTTACGTTTCTTTTACTTTGTACAGCTCGCTTCGTTTCCGGGTTTCTACTTTATGGATAACATCTTGTGACGTCTCTTCTTGATTATCCCCCGCGTTTTGTTTCTAAATTTTCACACCGGCTTTGTGGTTCTGAAAAAAGTGGGCGTTTGGATGTTGTGGATTGTGGTTGCTCCTCGTTGTGTTCCTCGTTGTGTGTCAGCTTCTGGGTTTAAAATCCTGGATCGATGCCATAGCTCTATGCCATTTTGTGTTGTTTGTTTTCTCGGTTTAGAATCGATGGTTGGTGAACGAGGAAGCGAATTTTTACTCGGAAGATACAAGGTCCATATGATGCCGATCTACCGCCATGGAGACGAAAGAAAATGAGCGGACGCCAGAAGGACGGCAGAGACGTGTCCAAGCGACCTTCCATGGCATTTTTTGTTTTACGTTTTCATGGGACGGACAGCTTCGCGGTGATATATTAGGGGATCTAGTTCCCCCTCTTTTATTTGCCCATACATCTTGTGTTGTCTCTGTTCCTTGCCTGTTTTGTGGGCAAGGTGCGTGATCTTTGGTGTCGACGTTGCCGGGGCAGTGCCTCAACGATGGCCTTTCTTCAAAGGCCAAGACTTGAGTGGAGCAACAAAGAAGATGACAACAAAACGTTCTAGAGGAAGAGTTGACCGTCAACAAGGAACCTCGACTCCAGCAAAACCAACAAGACCACGAGCTCGACCCCAAGCACCCGACAAGAACAGCGACATTGACGCCAAATAGACAAGCCAAGGCGTTGACTTAGAGCAGGCCAGCTGCCAGATGAACTTCACGGTCTAGAGTTCTTCGCTTGCTCGAGTCCGCCTTTGACCCACCGTTCATCACGACTCTCGAGCAGAGTTGCTCGTGGGTGTGTCATTTTTGTTAGAGTTTCGCGTTTCACTCCAAGTTCACAATTTTATCATAACCGGGCTATGTCCCAACTCGTTTTACCTTGGAATCGTCCACTGTGAAATCAATTCAGCTACTCTCACATCTTAGTGGCGTAATTTCAAGCCCCTTACCAAGACAACTTGAAGGATTTCATAGAGTCGCACAGCTGTTGTGGAGATTTTACATGGAAGATGGGCGCAGAAAAGTAAACAAAGTTTTGTTTGTCCCGGATATATGCTTGTATTTTTTGGCCTATATGTACGATTGCAACGCCGTTGATCTACAGCTCCATTCAATAACGCAGGAAAAGAATACAAAACGTCCTCCTATCATGAAATCCTCATCTTCGTGGCCCTTTGCAACCCTCCAACTTTGAATTTTCATCCCAACTTTTTCCCTTTTTTTCTTCTCATTGTTGTTCCATTTGGTATACCCTCCGCTATGGCCGCAGCACATGTCGCCATTCCGTCGTCCCGGTCCACGTCCTTCTCTCATAGACAAAAAAAGAAAATCAAAATCACATGTCTATCGACTCGTTGAACCGCAAAACGCCATTGCTCTTCAGCACGCCGTCAATGCCCTCGGGCAGCCGAGGGAAGGGATCAGCCAGGGGGGTTGGGGCCGGAGTCGTCTCCGCGGATCGATCAATAACCAGTGCCAGGCCCTGCGACTTGATTGCTTCGATCAGAGCCGGAACCATATCCTATACATGAGGGTTAGATCACGTTACGCTAGAGACAGAAAATGAGAGGGGGGTCAATGGAAACTCACAAGAAGACGCGAGCTGCAGATCAGGCCGATAAAGTTGTTGCTCTGCGCGGTGCGCACCACCTCCTTGACGGAGGCCGTTCTCCGGCCCGTGCTCCAAACACCATCCGGTACCGCCGCCGCCACTGTGGCATCGTCTTCCCGGCCCAGGTCGTTGCACAAGAACACGGGGAAATTGGGCTGCTTCCAGTTGATGGCCGTGCACAAGCTGGGGTTGTAGGAGCTGAAGACGACCGATCGTACCACATCCGGCGTGTGCGCGCGCTGCGCCCGTGCATGGTCAAAAACGACCCCCAGAATGGCATCCACGGCCGTGTTAATGTCCACGTTGCCCACGCCACCAAGGCCCAGCGCACGCTCCTCGTCGGCACTGGGGTAGAGGATCTGCAGGTTGACATGCATGCCTGTCGGCACCAGAGCGAGCGCGTCGCGCAAGGTCACGCCGGACGTGGCCAGAACGCGATGGACGTGGGACACGGCGTCGAGCGGCGACGACGGCAGCGTCTCGAGGTGCTGCCGGCCCGGCGCCGTGGAGGTGGCCGCACGGAATTGGGCGTAGTTCATACGGGCCACAGGGACGTCAATGACGCTGCTGTCGCCCGCGGCGTCGTCCATGGCATCGGTGCCTTCGACCACCGCCGTACGACCGCCGCCGCCGCAGCGCACGGTCCACGTAGGCCACAGAACGGGGACGCCGTCGCTGGTGTGCTGCACGTAGAGGCGCACATAGTCGCCGGACAAGCTGGAGCCGGCAACAAAGCTGCTGGGGTGGCCCTCCAGCTGGCTGGTCGCCTTCCAGTACGTCTCGAAATCGGCAATCTCCAGCGGCTTGCCCGGGAACGGCTTAATGACCTGGATGTGGAAGCTGATCTGGCCGATGGCGCGAAGACGGGGGTCAAACAGGGGAAGACAGCAGCTGCTCCCCGAACTGCCCAACAGGTTGCGGAACGTGCTCGGCAGGGCGACTGTTTTGGCAATGATCTTGGCGCCGTACGTCGGGAACACGTCAAAGTCCAGCACGAACGCGTCCAGGTTATCCACCTGGAAGAAGACCAGCCGGGTGTCCTCCTGGAAAGGCAGCATGATGTTCTTGGGAATCAGATCGGCGACCTTGGACGAGACAGTCAGCCGAGCAGCAGGATACTTGCCGTCGTGGAAGAAGACCAGTGGTGGCTCGCCGTTTTGGTCTTCAAAGTTGATCTGCACCACGGTCTTGGTGTCCAGGAAGTTGTGGCCGTAGCGGCGAAGCGGGATGATCGGCGGCGGGAGCTCGAGGATGGGAATGGCGTCGGGATCCAGAGCCATAGGACCGGGTGCCGAGCTGCTTCCGGCGCCATGCGATCCAAAACCGTCGAGTGTTCCAATGTCCGGCGTGGGCTTGAGACCGAACGGGCTCTCACGCTTGACTCTGCTGCTCTTCTTACGACTGTAAGGCGTCAAGAGTTTCATGCATTCCAGGTGGCCCTCCCAGGCGGCGTAGTACATGGCCGGGAGGTCCTTCTCGTCGAGAATATTTGGGTCGACACCGGCTTCGAGAAGCGCTTTCAAACAGGGGACGTTGCCCTCGCTGGCGGCGTGGACAATCGGCGTCCAGCCGTACAGCTTGTCGATCTGGTTCAAGTCGGCCCCATACTGTTGAAGGAGAAGGAGCAGGGTGGGGGCACGGCCCGCACGGGCCACGAGATGCTGCGGGTACAGGCCTTCGGCATCAGGGAGGATGTTTGCACCGTGCTTGAGGAGAAGCTCGACAATGGCGTCGGTGCCGTGTTCGCAGGCCAAGTTCAGAGGCACATGGTCCGCATCGGAGATGGGGTCGACACGGGCCGACTTCTCGAGCAGACGACTAACGCAGTCAAGGTGGCCGTGTATGATGGCATGGATCAAGGGGGTGAAGTTGTCATGGTCGATCAGGTCGATTGTGTCCGGGCCAACTTCATGTACACAACATTGTTAGAAGCTGCAGCATCCATACACAAAGAGAGTGTAAAACAAGCTCGTCGTTACATACCTTCTAGAAGAGCATCAAGCATGTCAAGGCGGCCATGCATGCTGGCGTAATGCAGCGGGACACGACCGTAGACGTCTGTCCGAATAACAGAGACATTCTTGGAGAGACCAAAATCGAGCACAAAATTGTTGCCGTAGATGGTGGCCTGGTGCAAGCAATTCCGTTCGTTGATGTCGTTCTCACTCTGAACGTCGACAAGACCAGTGTCAATAAGCACCTGCAAGGCGTCCCGGGAACCCTCGTTGATGGATGCCAAGAACGTGCGCGTGACACGCTCCTTCAGAGCAATGTCTCGACTGCTGCTGCTGCTCCCATCGTCGTGGCCGCTGGAGTCTGTGACGGCAGCCCGCATGCGGCCCAAGAGATCGCGCAGAGAGTCGAGGTGGCCCGCGAGGACCGTGTCCAACAGAAGGGTGTCCGCATCGCCCTCGTCGGTGCCTAGGAGATGCTGGCTGCTGACGATGTGGTCCGGCGGCTGCGCTCGGCCATCGAAACGGATCTCGTGGTCGCCCTCGGCCCAGGCGCCAAGCTCTTGCAGGCTTGTAGTGGCTTGGTCGGATAGCTCACTGATGACGGTGGCGTTGAAGAACGGCTGTACCTCGACGGCGCGCGAGAGGTACAACTCCTTGGTCTTGGATTTCGATGTCTTGTCCCACTTCTTCAGAATTTTGGAAAAGGCCGTGCCGTTGATTTCGACAAACTGTTGCAGCTTGTTGAGGTCGTTGGCAAACTGCTGGAAGCCTTCTTGGAGGGTGGTGAACTTGGCGGAGCGCCGGGAGATGGCATTGCCCCGTGCGCGGAGCACCTTCTTCTTATCGAGAAGTGTTTTTAAGCGAACCTTGAGCTCGGCCTCCTTTTGTAAGTAGAAGGCGTTTACCTTCTCAAGCTCACGTTCCTGTTCCGCTGTGATTAGCCGCATACTCAGAAAAAGACGGAGGGCAAAGGTTGGAGTGGAGGTGTCTGACGTACCAGTTGAAAAAAGAAAGTGGCTTTGTTGGCCTGCAGCGCAGCTTGGGAATCTAATGGGGTGTTCGGGCGGTGAAGGTCATCCTGCGCACCGAGGACAGGAGTCGCCGAGAGGCGTTTGATGAGCTAATTACGAAGATGGACAGAGCCACTCGTTAGCAAACGTGCCAAACCCAGGCGGGAGAAGAGACCATACCGGCAGATCCGTGGTCTAAATCAAGGACCGGTCCGATCCGCCGTCGTCTCCCACCGTCATATCCACTTCCCTGATATCACCTTACCTTTTTCAATGCTTTGTAGTTAACAAAGCTCGCTGCGTACTCTGGCACTTCAAGCTGCCGCTTCTGGATCTGCTTGCCGAACTTCCTATGAAGAGACAGAGCTGTCAGTTGCCTACAATCCGACAGCCAAAATAGCCCATGGGGTGGGGTTGGGCTTACATGTTGATGAGCTAGATCTGTCGAGCCAAAGGCCGTGGGGACTCGCCCCGGGGAAAAGACAAAAGTGAAAGCCGTCCGTTTGGGATACGTCAATACGGTGAGTCCCTTTCTGCGGAGTAGTATTCCTAATGATACTGTCAGAATCGACCCTGGTTAAAGTGTTTCCGCGCATGTACGAGCTTCTCGTGCCATTGGTTAATCCTGTTTCTGTCCCCTCCTTGTCTTGTCTCTCCTGTGCTGCAGTCTGCTGTATGTTAATGTGAAAAGCGCGCCGGTCGTGTGCGCTGGGGAAAACGAAAGCAAGGTCCCAGCTGCAAGCCTTGCCTTGGCGGTTGATCGAACAATAAGACGGCCGTGTTCGCCACGTGGGTGTGTGGTAGGGCAAGGGCGAGACAACGCTGACGCTGGAGGTTGTGGGCGCAGGAGGGCATATAAAGGGTGGCCGGCAAGTGTCTTTGTGCTGAGCGGGATGTGACCAGTAGAGGCAGGCGTTTCCTCGCCCAACAGAAGTGTCAGGTAGCCACTAGTTGGTGCTAGACTCTGGGTTTGAGGGCTGTTGTTTCCAGCCATCTGGCAACACGCTCGCTCTGTATCGTCCAATGGTATGTTTGCGCGTGTGCACAGTATGTGGGTGTATGCAGGTGCGCATGTGCCCGTCTCTTCAGCAACAGGATCTGCTCTAGGTCCTCGCATGATCAGGCCGTCCACCCTCGTTCGGGTATGCAGGTATGCGGAGCGAATCGTATGAATCCACAACCAAAATTGGTAAAATCTCTGCCCAGAAGCAAACTGCCACCAAACCAAAGAGGGCAGACGATGAGGGACAAAAGGACGCTGGAGCTGAGAGGTGGGGTCGACAATCGACAACCGTGTTCACCGGGTTCGATCTCCCCATTGGGCTCGCCGACCGTGAGGGGGTCGAGGCATTCGACAGCAAAGAAGCGGAAGCTTCCTGCGGCCACCTTTGATATCGGCCAGTCTGGTACACGGTCTAGCCCCCCTTTCAACCGTTTGTTTTCTTGTTTTGCTGAATCCGAAAGCAGCACTCGCAGACGCGCAGACTTGCCTGTACGTTCACGACGAGCGATGGCCAGAGGGCGATGACGTCTCGATCAGCGGCACCCAGAGGAGAGAGAACGCAAGGGCGAGGTCGACAGAAGGTCACGAGGGCCCTTGCTAGACAGGATGCGATCGACACAGTGGTGACAGCCGTGGAGGTGGCGGTTCAGAGGACTCCGGACGAGACAGACCATGGGCAGGGAGATAAAGAGGGACAGACACGCAGAGACAGACAGAGGTCTCAGGACCGGACACACTGAATGGTCAAGAAGCAACAGGGGGCCGCCATTGGACTCGGTGATCCAAGGTGGCAAGCGCCCGCGGGGGTTTTGCGGAGGGTGACGTTCTTGCTTACCGAGTATGGAGGAGGATGCAAGCTCAATGCAGGTGCAGGTGCAGGTGCAGACCAGTCACAGAGCTGCCAACGTCGTTCGCTCTCTGCCGTGATGGGTGAAAGCCAGCAATCGTAGTCGTCGCTGTCGAAGCAGTCAGTTCTCCTCTTCGCGTTTGCGTCGAGTGCTTAGGGAAATGGAGGGCAGGCGCGCAACAGAAAGGTGTGTCCGCAAATAGCCCTATGAAAAGGCCATGGTCAGGAAGGGACGAAGGGAGGGCATATCGGGAGCAAACGAATGTGGAAAGCACGCGCTCGGTGGTTGCTGATGGGAAAGAGAAAGGAAGGTGTGCCGTCATACCTTGGGGGTTGAAGCTGCCTCGTCGAGTGTCTCCGGCGCGCAGTGTTTTGGTGGTGTACAGTTTGCGGCACAGTGTGGCCGGCTCGATACGCTGGGAGCCTGGACAGGTCTCGTATCAGAACGGCGGTTTTCACAGAACGGCGATGGCGATCAGCGATTCACACAACGGCACAGACAGCCATTGTCGCATGAAAGGAAGAAAGAAGCTTCAAAACGACTGAAGTGAGACAAAAGTGTCGACAAGGAGAAAAATCAAAGAATTGAGGAAAGAGAGAGAAAGAGACGGGGACTAGAGGGGTGGTAAGCGACCTCGCGCGTGGGCAACAAGCTCTTGCCCCGAAAATAGGTTGGTGGGGTTCGAGTTTCGCAGAAGCCACATCCTAGGTAGGAAGCCGCGACTGACACTTGTGACTCTCTGTACAGCTCCACATTTCTGGCGATTGTCTGTCGATTTTCTGTCGATTTACTGTCTTTGCACTGTCCAGAGCATCGTCGCCTTTGGGACCCTGTCACCCTTTTGGCGCTCTGGTTCATGAGATGCAACTGCACGCGGCCGGAAGGCTCGACGGCAGCGGTGGCTGTCACAGACCAGGCGCCGCATGCCCAATGGCAGCTGGCTCAGCGACGGAACCGCTTTTGGTTGGGCAGAGGCCGCCTCTCTCGCAAATGAATTTCCTTTTTCCTCTTTGTCTTTAACCTCTGTCCGAAGTACGTCCCACGTACGTTCGTAGTACTTCCCCCGTATCCACAGCGTGCTCGGTGTACTCGTCCCCTTTGCCATTCTACTCCCCAACTAAACTCATGGCGCCGTCTGTTTCTTCCCTCGCCCGTCGCTCTTTCCCCATCGAGCGACATGCAATGCGGCTTGTAGGCCGTTTACAGGCCTGGAGGGGCAGGCACGGGGCTGTCCGTCGTGCGATTCACCCTTCTGAGATGTGCAAGTGCAAGTACGAAATACTGTGTAAGTAGGTCCTTGGTCTGCTCGGCGCGTTGGCTCTGTGAGCAAAGGATGCTCCAACCGGTCCAATCAGCGGACAGATACGACACATGTGTCGTCTGGCCCGAAATGGTCCATTGGCTAGGCCGCAAATCACGCCAATTGCTTCCGGCCACGAGGCTGAGGGGCCGTGACAACCCGCAATGGCGCCGTAAAATGCCACGAGATTAACATATCAAGGTAAAAAGAAAAAGAGAAGAAAAAAATTTGCCCAAAACTGGTACGCAAAATGACGCTATCCGATGCGGTTCGCAGACGAGCTAACCGCAGGCAGCTGTCCTTACGCGAAAACAATGTGAACATGAACACAAAGACGGCCCAAACCACAAAGGTGGTTCGGCTGCCGGCAGTGAGTTCATGGACGTTGGTGGTGCCTGACTATCACTTGCATATGCTCGAGCCGAGTCCGATCCTGCAGGCCCTGTGGTTGAAAAGAACCACCGGTACAGCCCGGGATACCAGAGACGTCTTACGGTGTGGCAGAGTAGCGTGTCGAGTGGTAGAAAACAATCTGAGCCGGACCGTTGAGACTGAAATCGATTGAATTTGAAATCAGAGAAAAAAAGGCACACGACAAACCCCGAGGCTAGAGAAACGATAAACAATAAAAGACAAACCGCAGACGACATGCACGCTCGTGTAGCAAAAATCCAACCGAGTCATTTCTGGCCTATGTACAAAATCACAAACGCCTCCCCTTGCCCTCCGCACTCACGCTGGCACCAGCTGTCGCCGCTCTGTCTGCGGCTCTTCTGTGCCGGCGTTCTCGTTAGCCACGATCGGGTCTTGTGCCACCACCGGCTGTGTGTCTGGTGCGTTGGGAAGCACGACCTGGGCTGGCCGTGTGGGCGCCATCTCGGCCTCCAGCGCCGCCAGCTCGTCTTCCACCTCGTCTTCGTCGGCATTGGACATGCTGCCGCCCAGCATCTCGCTGACTTCCTGTAGAGGGGGGGCGTTCGTTAGCATAAAGGTTCGATGATGGCAATGCGAAACATAGGCAACCCTCCACTTGCATTCTGGTAGGCAATCGCGTCGGCCGTGTCGCCCATGAGCTTCTCCACGTGCGCAAGACCGCCCATCTCCTTGTGGATCTCTTGCAGCACCTTGGTGCCTTGTTGCAGGCCAAAGACCACGTCCTTTTGGATGAGCGCAAACTCGACATTGGACGTCAGCTTCTCGAGCTGTTCGAGCTGCGCGTCCGTCTTGGCTAGCAGCGACTCCTGGTACTTCTTTCGCCGCAGGGCCAGCAGCGCGCGCTTCTTGTCACCCCGTGCCAGCATCGCGCGGGCGGCATCCGTCTCGCGGTTCGTCAGCACGGTGATGCGCCGTTGGTATTGGTGCAGCTTGTCGCGCTGGATCTTGAGGTCCAGGATGGCCCTGCAGGCGAGTCTCGGTTAGCCTTGCGTCGGAACAAACCCCCATTGCCATTGTGTCGTGCCACGACAACGCACAACGCACTTATCTTGGGCCGTCACCCGGCTTCCATTGTTTCCCATCGCGGGGAGGGTGTGCCGCGTTTTGGCTACAGTATCCGATCCCTGTCGTCTGCTCGTCTTCAAAATGCGTGCGCAGGCGCCATACGGCAGCAGTCGTGTGAGTCGTTGTCTGCACAATCCCCTGTAGCGGGAAATGGTCTCTGACGTCGTCGAGATCGTCCAATCGCAGAGCTTGGCCGGCAGCAGCAAGGCTGTCGCTGTCAGATCGATCAGTGTGGCAGTGCCACAAAGAGGCGTTGTCGTGCGCAAGAGAACAAAGAGAGCGGTCAAAAGCAGAGCGAGCTGCTGGCCGTACCGTGGTCGCCAGCTGTTGTCAATCGTCGTCCGTGGTTGATGTCGTCAAACGTGATCGCAGCTAGCCGGACGAGGCCGTCCAATCGTTTTCTGTCATGCGAATGCTCGTGCTTTGGCTGCAGTGCTGGAAAATGTCGGTTGCGACTCGAGACAGCCTTCCGCTCTCCGGAGTGACGAAATAGACGTGGAGTACCTAAAAGGCGGGGCTAATTTTGGTACGGTGACAGGCCCACAGCGTACTTGCACAGTGGCGTGGCTGAAGCACAGCGCTGTACAAAGTAGGTTGTGTATTAAACGCCCTCCTTGCCAGGTACCTTTTGGCGCGTCTTCCATTGTTTACAACCAGAAAGGTGGGCCACTGTACATGTGGCGAGGGCGAATAATGATCAAGGGCAGTGTAATTCGTACATACATTGTAATTACGTCGTACACATATTTGGTAGTCTTAAAGGGCGCCTCCGCGCATGTGACGTGTGGCTTAAACACCTTTACTGGGCAGCCTATTCCTTGCCTGGCGGAGGGGCAAAGCACCTTCGTCATCAACTAGAATCTGGAATCCTGCTGGACGCAGCTCAGGAGGAAGACGATGTGCCACGAGTCCCGACCCCACCATTTCCCGGTTTAGCACCACCGTGGCGCTGCCAGCAGAACATGCCGGCACAGTCTCACCCACCACGCCTGTAACTCCCCTAAAACGTACTGCCTCTAGTCAGCTCCAGCTCTAATCTTAGCACGCCCGTAGTAAGGGCGACGACGTATCACCTACGTTTCTACGGGCCTATGCCTTAAAACTAGGCTTCCTTTTCCGACCTTCATAAAAGGTCACCTTCTCTCTTCCACGCAAGCACTTCACCGCCCTCCGCTCGAACTGCCTCGACACCCCCGATTGACACGGCATAAGAACCCCTTCATCGACCACATCCTCCACCCACTCTCCCACTTGTGCGAGCTCCCGCAAGCAAGCAGAACCAACACAGAATGGCGGCTGATCCTGTATGTTTTCCGTACCCACTTTTTGCGGCTTCGCCCCTTGTTTTCATGAGCTGCCTTGATCGTTTACGCGGCACGAGCTAGAAAAGCTCTCGATCGCTCTCACTCACCCTCTGCATATTCCTTTCCCTGCATTCATCTGTCTTCTGTCTTCTGGCAAGCTTCGTGCCGAGTCCGTACTAACCGCCGCCGCCCCAGAAGTCTCCGACCCCAGAATCGCCGACAACGGCCCGACCTCTCGAGATGGATGACGACGACATTCAGGAGGCCAGCATCAACCCGGAGGAGACCCCCGTCTCCAAGACAGCAACCTCGACTGCCAACTCGACCACCTCCGGCGACGGTGCCGCGGCCACTGGCGCCAGTTCTGCTACTGCGGATGCTGCTGCTGCTGCTGCTGCTGCAACTTCCGCAGATGCTTCCAAGACCGAGGCAGGCTCCGAGCCGGCGTCTGCTCCGGCCGCTGATGAGGCTGCGCCCCCGAAGCCGCCGCGGCCATTGACTGAGCAGCAGAAGAATGAGCAGACCCTGAAGGAAGCTTTTCCGGCCGTGGATGCGGCCGTCATCAAGGCCGTCCTCACCGCCAGCCGGGGCAACATTGAGGCCGCCTTCCATGCCCTCCTGGAGATGACCGATCCCGACGCCGCCCAGCACGAGCCCGCACCACCACCACAGCCCCCCCGTCCCGTCCAGCAAACCCCCGTCCATCCTGGTCCTGGTGGCGGTCGCCTGTCTCCTTATAGCCAGATGGTGGCAGACGAGGAGTACGCGCGGCAGCTTGCGCAGCACTACGAGGCCGAGGACGGCGAGTACGAGGCACGCACGAGCCATGGGTCTGGCTATGGCCGGTCGCGCGGCGGCTACCAGAGGGGCCAGAACCTCAAACCCAATGAACTGTGGGGCGACAAGGAGCACAGCTTCATCGACGACGACCTTCCTGTGATCCAAGAGAACCTGCGCAAGGGCTTTGCGGAGACACAGACAAAGTTCAACTCCTGGTTCACGGGAATCAAGAAGAAGATCAACGAAGAATGGAACAGCGGCGAGAACGACGACGGCGAATACCACCAGGGCGGCGCCGGCAGCCCCTCCCGAGGCCAGAGCGCGACAAGCTATGCCCGCTACGGTTCACGTCAGCCCCAGCGCCGCAGCGGCGATTACGATGCCGATCCGGAAGTGCTGAGCGACGACTTTGCTGGTATCCAGCTGCACGGCGATGGCAGTACGTCCCTCCCCAAATAACCTTTGCTATTGTTACATCGAGCATACTATCGGATAATATCGTTGTGGCCTAACAAAAATTTAGCCCCCGTGAGACACAACCCCAACGTTTTCCGTCCACCTCCGTCGTCGACCTCGCCCCGCCCCGGCTCTGAGCGCAAGGTCGCCTTCCGTGACCAGGATGAGACCATTGACATGTACAGCGCATCGCCCAAGCTGCCGCCCAAGGACGGACCTGGCAACCGCGCGGCGTCACCGGCAGCTGGTGCTGGTGCTGGTGGCGCCAAGGCCAGCAAGTGGCAACCCATGTCCTCCGTCGACCCCACGCCCATGGCCGACAACGATCCGTTCAGCCTGGGTGACAGCGAGGATGAAAAGGACAACAACACGTCGTCGGCTGCCGCCAAGAGCGCCACGGCCAGCAAGGGAGATGCCGCGACCGAGAGTGCTGGCGGCGCCAAATCGTCGACATCCTCTACATCGCCCGAGGACGCTGAGCGACTGCGCAAGGCTGCCGCCGAGGCAATGGCAGACAGCCTGGTGGAAGATAAGACGAAGTAGGCAATGAAGACATTGGGGGCAGCCGGTGTGGAAGTATGTGCATTTGTAGGGATTTTTGCTTTTTGCCATTTACGTCTACTTAGGTTCCTGGGCGGCACTCTTTATCTTGTCTTTCCCAACTTGTCCCTGAATCTGGATTCCTCTTTTTTTTATGTTTTTTTTTGTTGTTCTTTTATTTAACTCTTGATGCGTACCGTGACATTTTGACGGCACCCAACTCCAACTTGATACCTTTGCATTTCCGTTGAAGTTGCTTTGCGTTGTGCGATGTCGGTTTATTTTAAATATGCGCTGTGTTTGGCAATGTCCGTATGTATATTATGTCGCTTAGTTGTTTCTGTTTTATTTTATTTTATGTTGCTGTTTTTTTTTAAAAAAAAAAAAAAAAAATTTCGGCATGGAGGAGAGCGCTTGTATACAAGTAGAATAAAATTTGAATTCCTTTTCTTTTTTTTAAAAAAAAAAAAAATAGTAATAAAATAAAAACAAGGTGAAAATAGGGTAGAACAACAAGCGAAGGACATTGGATGATAGTTCGTATAAACTACGAAACTATGCATGCAAATAAATTCAACGTATGACTACCCACAGGTTTTTTGTCCGGGCAAACAGTTCAAGTAAAAGCATTTGTACCGCTTATGTCACATTTCTAGCCCTATGTCAATGCTACCCCCGCCCTACGTCTTCCCTGAGAAGATAAACGCTATGAATGGGTATCATGAAAGTACAAACCGCCGGCCTAAACCCAAGCAGTCGTGCATGCTCCGACAAGAAGAACAAAACGCATGATTCAAACGTTTCCTCCACCCGCTGTTCAGAAGTCACAGGCCATGAAAGTCCACCAAATGCCAAAACAACAACAACAACAACACCGACAAGTCGCTGCTCGAAAGCAGGATCCCACTACCCATATCAAAACCAGCAACTCGCCGCAGAAGATCGACGAGATTCATGCCCAGGACTCTCCTATTGACCTGGCTGGTTGTAATGCTGGTTGTGGTGCTCTGCATGGCTTCCATAGTCATAGCTGCTCAATGGGTGCTGTGCTGGATGTGGAGGGTAGAGTTGGTATGCTGCCGGCGCATCGTACGCACTGGCTTGAGGCGGTCTAAAAGACGTGACGTTAGCTTTTGAAGGGCAATGGACAGTGGGAGAATGGGAGAAAAGCAGAACACAGCCAACCTGACGTACTGCGCCCAAGCACCTGCGGCTGGAGGATGTGCCTGATAGTCATGGGTTGCACCAGAGTTGTGGTGCCATTGGGGCTGCCCTTGGACCTCTGCCAATGGACGTGGGCTATGCCGCACCACAGGTCTAATAAACATTGGGGCAGGCTCGTGAACGTCCTGGTGATGTAGGTGAGAAGGGGCAGAGTCGTATATGGGAGGGAGAGGAGGATTGTATACTACAGGACGCGGCTCCGGTGCGTTGTGCGGCGGTGGCTGCCGCTCGTAAACAACTGGCCGATCGATGGCGCTTGGTCCCAAATGGATAGGAAGTGGATCCTGCGGCCGTGGCATGCTCTCAATATATATGGGAGGACCTTCAGGATTTGGACGGCCAGAGTAGTCTGTCAGTGGAGGCCGACGATATTCAACGAACGGTGCGTGCTGAACCTCAACATCTTGATAAGGCTGCTCCCGGTGCTCTGAGATAATGTTACCACGATAGTCCCGAACTGGGTATGTCGCCGCGGCCAGAGGACGGTCCATATCCGAGTCATCTAAAACAATCGGCGCACGTTCGGATCCCAAAGGCAGCTCCAGCCCGGGACTTTCATAATAGGGCCGTCCTTCAGGTGCAGACACAGGGATCCTAGTAACGCGGTGCGTCTGTCGCAGAGCGACGTGCGTGTGCGAGTCTTGGTCGGTGGGTATGTGGGGCGGTGCTTCATGGGGTCGCGATACAGCATAATAGGCGGGTGCCCGCTTCCATCCATCACTTGCCAGCCGGCGCATAGGGACGGCTGCATGAAGAGGCGCTCCATGGGGAGAATACGACTCATCGTCCACCACGCGCCTGCGCTTCAAGGTCCCTGGTTCTCCGCCCCAGCCCGGTGAGTTGCGTGAGTCGTACTGGGTCCGCCTATCATCTACACGGCCTTTCGGAGGACGTGATACCTGCCGAGGGGATACAGTTCGAACAAAAACTGGGGCGGTTGGTAACTGTTCCATGGACGGAGACAGAGGTTCGACTGACGGCACCAAAAAGTCACGAGCCTCACTTGATCGTACTACAACCCTCTGCGGTTGCTGTGTCTGTCGTGGATCAGTAAGTGGGCTGGCGCCCCTTGATAAACCGCCCGAAGGGCTTCTCTGGAGTGCGGTATCCGACGCCACCAGGGTCTGGATCGGGCCCCTTGTTGGATATTCTAATGGCTGCAAGGTGCTGCCGTCGCCGCCCCTAAGTTGCGGAGAGTCCCGTATTGTGCTGGTATAGTAAACATGATTCGACGCTGGAGCTTGTTCTGGGCGCAGTATGCCTTGCTGGGAATGGCTCCGATACTCGACTATGCGAGGAGGCGCTTCCTTTGGGTGGTCTTGTTGGTGACGAGCCCGATGAACAGCTTCACCCCATCGCGCAGATAGCGCAGCCTCGTACCGCTTGAAACCCCGCCTGGCACGATGGGCAGCAGTGAGATCCTGCATATACGGGCGGGTTGGCCGGGCATAACTGTAATCGGGCTCATCCCGCCACGTCGCACGCTCGCCGTAGACCAACGGACGCCGCGTGTGACGCAGCTCCAAGGCTGTCTCAGGGTCCTTGCGCGTTCGGGGCTGTGGCACCGCGGGATATGGGAGATAGCTGGGCTCCGCGGCAAGATCTCCAGACTCAACGCCGCTACTATCGGCCTCGTCGTCCTCGTCCTCGTCACCATCCTCTTCACCTTCAGAGTCAGATATAACAATCACTTCCCGGAGAATTTCGTCTAGCTGGTCACGGCCAGTCTCCTCATCGCCTCGCCACTTGACGAGCACATCCAGACAGAGCCCTTCAACGGCCTTTCTGGCATTTAAATAGGATGTCTCCCGTAAGAGGCTGTCATAGCGAGTGTGTGTGTGCCTGATGTGGGCTAAAACGGCCAGCTGCACGCGGCGGGAGAGAGGAATGTCTCGGGCCAAGCCGACAAGAGGTTCACCCTTTTTTGTCGCTCCCTATAGCAAACCTTGCATTAGCCAAGCAAAATACAAACGCAACTTTGCGTTTCGTCTCCGATATACCTTTTTAAAAGAGTGCTCGATGATTGTTTGTCGGTCAGTGTTTGGAATTCGGGGAAATAAATCTCTTATCGCTAGATCCGCCTGCGCGTTGATCTCTTCTTGAGATTCGGGGATCGGTTCTGGTAGACCAGACTGTGCATGATCGTCTGAGGAGTTGCCGTTGTCGCTAACTTCTCTGCGCGCTTCCTCAACGATGCCCTGTCGTATGTGGTGGCCGACACGGTTCATTTGCTGGGACAGGCCGCCGCCCGTGCCATTCTATGCAGTAAAGTAGATAGGTCAGCGACTTTCTGTGTTTGGGAGCAAACCTGGCAATGGGAGACAAGACAGACGCACGGATACAATGAAAATCATGGCGTCATGCTCGCGTGAGAGTTCCTTGCAAGCTTTTGTCAACTCGGGGTTGCCGATGGGAACGAATTCGAACCCTGGCGGCGGCGTTCTCCTGCTGGTAATCTGTATATCCAACCGTAGTTAGCATTCGACGGCGGCGATGGCCATCTAAGCATGCTCAGAGGGGCTGTCGAAAGACACAAAGTGGTTCAGGGAGAGGATGGCGCACCTTGAACTCCAGCTTCTTCTTCTTGTCTTTGTTCTCGACGATCTCGTAGTACGAGTGGTGTTTAGATTTCAAGTTGTGAACTTCTGGCCTCGCATTCAAAACCACCGGATTGCTTATGGTTTGAGCTCGAAGCCTCTTCTTATGCCGCTCTTTGGCATGGGCGCCTGGTGCCGCGCCAGGGCCACTGTGTTTTTTTTCGCGGCCCATGCTTTTGTCGAATCTCTGTGCACCACCTTTGCAACTATATTCTTACCATGGTGGACTTTGTAGACCAAAAGCTCTTTTTAAAACGGGGTGTAGAGTAAGGATAATGGGATGCAACGCGCAAAACAAGGTGGTGGTAGTTCCAGGGGAAGTATGCACACAGGACACGGACGACGCGGGTGACAAAAATTCGGCCTACCGCCAGTCGTCAACCACAGTGTGGTTGAAGGGTAAGGTAGTGGAATGGCGAGAACAAGACGGTCGAAGAAGCAAAGCGAAACAAGATTCTGCACAAGATATGTGCAGGAAAATGAGGCTGCCCAAAAGCGGCGGTGGCACTGGCCATCAAGGGGGCAGCAAGGATGCCCGTGATATGCACCTTCTCCACGGTCGGTCTGTCTGGGCACAGGCTAGGGCGTCGTTCCTTCCCTATTGAAAAGAGATAGAAGACGGCATACGGAACGAAAGGCAGGAGCGAGACGTGGCCGAGTGGAAGAGCCGGGGTGCAAGATGGCAGATCGGGCAGGAAGAATCACGCTTTTGATCCCTGAAGCGGTCGAAACTGAATATGGGAAGGAACGCCCAACGGCAGTCGTTCACCAAAATGAAGACGGCCAAAAATGCCGAGAATGGCAAGAGCGAACGACAACAGAGACGAAACCGTACTTGCAAACAAATGCGAAAAAACAGCAACTATCAAGAGTGCGAGAGATTTGGTTCGTTCAGTTCGACCCTGACCACCGGTGATTAGCTGTTGGGCAACCGACGATGAGGACGAGAGAAAGTTGCCCGAATGGTTAGTGACATATTCACATTGTGATGTGTGGGAGTGAAAGTGGCCAATAGGCTGCTAAATTAGGCAGAGGTTTGGGCGCTAAGAAATTGAGGTTAGATCACGTGCCTCATTTTTGTGACGACGTGCAGTTGTCACAGCTAATTGTTTGCAGTGGCTTTCACGTGAGTAATACAACACGGGGTATCAACATCAACAAGAACGACGAGTACAGCCGCCAATGACATTTATTATGCGTCACGCTGCGGCCGACGGTACAGTGGTGTGAACACAGTAACTGGGAGATCCTGTGTTAACTCGAGCCTATTTGTTCACCTTTCAACCCTTGTTACAGCAACGCTTTTTGCTCGGAGCAAATATGCCTTGAAGAGGCTGCCACCTCAACTCAGAATTGCATGGGCGCCCCCGAGACGAAACGTCAAATCGCGGGGTCGGGCTATCAAAGCTCACACTGGACTTAAAGGAAACCATGGCCGAGTTTAATTTGGCGGCGGCCTTTATCCCGTCCCTCCACAAACCGGCTGCGTTGCTCCCCATCGCGAAGCACAGAGAAAGCCTTTTGTATCTCGTTGAGACGTATCCGGTGGTCATTGTTGTTGGCCAGACAGGCTCTGGAAAGACGACGCAAATACCGCAGTTCTTGGAACAGGCTGGGTGGTGTGCAGATGGCAAAGTTATCGCTATAACCCAGGTAGGTTAACAGTCTTCTTCTGCCTCAGGTTTGATTCGCTGAGATTGCTCATACTGACCCTGGATAGCCACGTCGGATAGCAGCAACCACCGTTGCTGTGCGGGTTGCAGAGGAATATGGCTGTGATATAGGCAAAGAGGTGGGCTACTCCATCCGCTTCGAGGATGTCACGTCTTCCATGACACGCATCAAGTTCATGACCGATGGACTGTTGATTCGCGAAGCCCTTGTGGACCCTCTGCTCTCTAGATACTCTGTGATCATGGTGGATGAGGCCCACGAGCGCTCCATCAGTACGGACATCTTGCTGGGGCTGCTAAGAAAGATTCGCCGGCGGCGCCCAGAGCTACGCATCATCGTCAGCAGCGCTACACTGCAAGCAGAGAATTTCCTCGCGTATTTCTCCGCCGGCGAGGAGACCGACGGCAGCGACAAGCCTGCCAAACCAAAGAGCGGCAATGTAACCACCATAGATGCGCCTACCCGAGCAGGTGAAGAGGACGAGGAAGACGAAAACGAAGACGACAACAAGCGCCATGAAACAACTGGTGCCATTATTAGCCTCGAAGGTCGCACGTACCCCATCGACATTCTGTATGTCGCTGAGCCAGTCGAGGACTACGTGGAGAAGGCTATTGGCGTTGTGCTACAAATACACGAGGAAGAGCCTGACGGCGACATCCTCGTCTTTCTGACCGGCCGTGAGGAGATTGAGCGGGCCGTGCAAGCTGTCGCAGAGGCAGTCTTGACACAAGACGCACTGTCGGCGAAACGTGCATTACTACCATTGCCCATGTATGCGGGGCTGACAGCGGATGAGCAAATGTACGTGTTTGACGAAGCACCCGAGGACACGCGCAAGGTCATCTTTGCCACAAACATTGCCGAAGCGTCGGTGACAATCAGCGGTGTTGTCTATGTGGTGGACAGCGGGTTTGTCAAGCAGCGCGCCTACGACCCCATCACTGGCATCGAAACGCTCACGACGACACCCGTCTCAAAGGCCGCAGCGGCACAACGTGCGGGACGTGGCGGCCGCACAAAACCCGGCAAATGCTTCCGCCTGTACACAGAAGACTCGTATCTGGCCCTGCCGGACGCCAACGTGCCTGAAATCCAGCGGTCGAATTTGGCCCCGGTTGTGCTGCAGCTCAAGGCGCTGGGCATCGACAATGTCCTGCGGTTTCCCTACTTTACGCCGCCGCCGACCGAGTTGATGACCAAGGCACTGGAGTTGTTGTACTCATTGGGCGCGCTGGACGACTATGCCAAGCTGACCAAGCCTCTCGGCCTGCGCATGGCGGAGCTGGCCGTGGAGCCGATGATGGCCAAAACGTTGCTGGCCGCGCCGCAGTTTGGTTGTCTTGGCGAGATGCTGACGATTGCTGCGATGACAAGCCGCGAAGGCAACAGCAGCGTGTGGATCGACAGCCAGGACGGCGGCCGGAGCAAGGAAGAGAGGCAGCTGGTCGAGCTGGTCCGGCGCCGGTTTGCGGCCGATGAGGGTGACCACGTGACGCTTCTCAATGTATTCCAGGCGTTTGTGACCAAGGGCAACGGCGAGGCGAAGTTTTGCAAGGAGAACCGGCTGAATTTCCAGATGCTGAAGAGAGCCGTCAGTGTGCGAGCACAGCTGAGACGGTTTATGGAGCGATTTGGATTCGAGATCCCGGACGTCCGGCAACCACAGTCGCAACAGCCGCATCCAAGTGCAGCCAACAAGGCGGAGCAGATTCGGCGATGCCTTACGACGGGCTACTTTGCACATGCAGCCAGGATGCAGGCTGACGGCACATTCCGAAATGTAGCCGGCGGCACAGTGCTGCACGCACACCCGAGTTCACTTCTCTTCAATCGCAAAGCGGACTGGGTCCTCTTTCACGAGGTGATGGAGACTGGGGACAAGACATACATCAGAGACATCACCAAGATTGAAAAGAATTGGCTGCTCGAATACGCCCCCGACCTTTACCAGACAACAGACCAGAGATGAAGGACGCTGGACGAACATAGGGCAAAACATGGCGTAAGATGCGGTGTTTTGTTGAAAAGTCGCTGACAACGAGCTGGTCGATAAGAAAGTAGAGAGGGGAGACAGGGCACGAAACACGGGGTACACGGCGATGTACAGAGTACGACAATATTACGTTGTAATGCAAGATGAAGAAAAGGCGTAACGTCGTACACAAACCATGTTTAATGTATCCATTAAAACATGAACGAGGTATCTCAACGGTCAAAATTCGGTGCCCGAGTTGAGCTTCCGTAAATTACACGGAATCAAGGCGTTTTTAGATTGTTTAGTGACTTGTCCCTTGTCCCTGTTGCTCGACAGGGCTTCGCCTCTTTTTTGTTTCTTCTTTCTTCTCCGGACGCGTGTTCGGTCCGTCTCAACCAAAGGATGTGCATTTGTCACTGCATGGTTCATCGGCCGTTTCCGCCCTTTAAACTTTGTTGTATGCTCATCTTGTTTTGCAAATCAAACCGTCCACTCTTTCGTCTACGATATGGCTATTTCTTCCCGTCCCTTGGCTTATCTCCCGCCTCCGATCTTGCTTGATTTCAGAACATCGGACGGAGAAAAGGGAGGGAAAGCCATTTGTGTTATTCTTTTGCTAAAAGGCAATGCTCATGAGCCCAAATGGTGTACAGATATGCGTACCTTTTGCCTTTGTCTTGCCTTCCTCCTGGTTCTTTTTCCTTTTCTTTTTCATTTTTTTTCCTTCAAATTCAATCAAACCTCTGCCAAGGTCACGGTAACAAGTACGGAAAAGAAACCAGGCTCAGAAAAACCAAACTAGCCCACGAATATGTGCAACTCAACCCAAAGCAATAGAGGGGCGGGCTATTGGCTTGGAAGACATATTGTTTCGTGCTCATAACCCTTTGCTCTATGCAACTGGATTCGACCAGAGCCTCGCACAAGTTTGGCTTCGGGCACTCCATACCATATTTCTTTTGCCTGCCTTTCTGTTGTAAATTGGCATGTTCAGTGTACTTGTACGACGCATTATTGTGAGTATCAGATATGAAAGGAGAACAAACGTGCTTGGGAAACTCTGGCCCACGAGAAATTTTAAAGCAAAGCAGGGGAGGGCATCGTCTTACCAAGTGAATTGCCATCGGCCGGAAGAAGCACCGAGTGCCTTTTGAGCCCTGTAAATACCTCACACAGGACAGGCACATTGCGCGACACTCGACCTCCGTGGTCCGTGTATTATAAAGGAGTAGTTAATAAATCGTCATGACTGCACGAAAACGACAATGACTTTGTACACTCTCGAAGCTGCCACAACCCCTGGTGAGAACGAGGCGCAGCTGGCTAGGCCCACCGGAACAGACCACACAGAAGTCAAACCTGCTGAAGCAAATTAGCCATATGTGCTCCAGAATACCAGGGGGCATGTCCGCTGTTTGAAAAGTGGGAGAGCTAAATCCAAAGGAAGTTTCTGACAGTCTTCACAACGGAGAACTGTGAGAGCGACGTACGCCGTATTCCCCGTTTCTGTGTGCCCGTCTCGAGCCACGAGGGCCATTTTAGATAAACAGCACTTTCAGGCTGCACGCGTTCAAGACACACTCCTTCAATGTAGGGAGAAAGAGGGGAAAGAACCGCTTACCAGTAACGCCGGGATCTGGGCCTAGACCTGCATCGGCCACTCTGCGATGGCTCTCGCCCTCATCTGGTTCAGCGTCTGCTTGCCCTACAGGAATTACTTTGTAAATAACCTATCGAACGCAGAGGTCGATTCTTTGGCACTCCATTGTATCTTGCTTGTTGGCAAAGGTTCTTGGGATACAAGTCCGTTTCACAGACGGTGGTAAGCCGGCGACGAAAAGGGACTGGACTCACGCATGTAGATATGCTTTGATCGCGCGACGAGAACAGGCCCTTCTTATTGGACCGTTCCAAGGCGACGACGTGACAGACGTGACCGACGAGTGAAAAAACCAAAAAGGGGTGTTCCAACGAGACAGGGTATGGGGAAGCCCAAATCGTGGCTGCATGGGTTGACAGTGGGCCAACGAGCCTTTTTCACCCGTTCCTGATTTACTGGGCCTTTTGGGCGTGTCTCCTGGCCCCGTTCTGCTCATTTCGGTTGATTTGGCTGGGTCCCGCCAGGAGATTAGCGCCGCCCAAGGGAAGCGGGGGCCTTTGGCTGTGGCGGCCAATCCGTCTTGGGGAAAATCATGTGGATCCCTGTGGTGGTAGTCAGGTACACAGCCAATCAGCGCCCGTCGCTTCTGCTTTTGGGAAACAGC